GGGAAGACTTCCTGAGAGCAGATGAAGTCCTGGCAATCCCGAGTCTCGTGTTCTCGCGTTCCTGGAGAGACTCTCCCACGGTGCGATCCCGTGGGAACAATTTAATTGGCTTAAGAAAAGGCAACCTTGTCCCAGGATGTTGCTTTATCTTCCTCCCACCGTCTTTCTTTTTCATCCTCTCTCCATCCGAGTACTGGTCATTTTAAGCCGTTTAACCCCCCGTGTCGAAGATCGCCGACCTTTCGAATTGAATGCCCCGTCGTAAAACTTGACCCTTATCATGATCCATTCCTCTCTGACTTCTAATTGTACGGCTCGACGTAGTCGATTGTAATCGTCGCCGAATGACGATCTCCGGTTCAAGAAAAATAACGGGAAATATCCTAGTCTCGTTGTGTAAAAAGAATAGATGCGTTGCCGTACATAAGTTATATCTTTTTTTTTTTTTTTTTAATTTGTCTTAAAATCCAAATGAACTCAATTTACTCGATAAATAAGAACAACACGCAAGCTGCGAATCGTCGCGAAACTCTTTCGCTCCTCTACAAGCCTACTACCGAACCAGATCGCTTGGCTGGCCTCAGGGACGGTTTGTCCCACGTTGCTGTGATCAGCCTGTGGGAATCAGCCTGAGTCTGGAATTCGTGAGAAAACGCGGGAAGCGCGCGCGACGTCGTTCTCTTGAGAGAGATCTTTGTGAGATACCGCTGCGTGGCTGCGTGCGAAGGGTACAGATATGTTCTCGAATTGTTACGCCTATTTTAGACGATCTATTATAAGTCGCGACAGATTTCGTAATCTTTCGGAATTTGTGTATCATTCGATACGTCCCGCAATAGAAAAAATTAACACAGTTAGTATTATGAGATTTTAAACCTTACATACCCCTTGCATAGAAGCTGATTTAACTCTCTTTTCTCTAAATTTCCTCTCCAGGATTGAAATCTCCCAACCGTTTTTATAGAGCAAACCGCGCTTTATCATAGATGATAAAGGGGTTGTACTTTAATAATTACTATTGAGATTTTGAATAATTTATACGTAAGATATTTAAAAATTATTTAAATGACGAAATGACAAAAGAGAATCATCAAAAATCATCTCAGGAACGAAGCTTCGCGCACGATTTGTCTTTCTCGCGTAGAATTATCATTAGTGATAATCATTGTCTATACGGTATTTGCAACTAAAAGTTTAAAGAACCTTTTAAAGGACACGACGCGAATTGCTCCTGCATGTGATACATGCCTGTTACGCGGAGCGACGATTTCAGCCCCAAGTTCAACATCTTCTCACGCTCGAATCTCGCCGTTGCGTCGCGCCTCCGAAATCTTATTATTTTTTGTATCGGCGTCATGGGAAAGTCGGCAGAACGAGCGCTATAGGTACCGAAACCGCACTATGAGACTCTCTTCTCACGATTTCGGAATCCTTTGCCTCTAGAAACGTTTTTTGGATCCCGATTTAAACCTGACATTGATTTTATGATCCCGGCCACGCCTACGCTGTGACAGGAAATGGCTTAAGAGATATACGACAAGAAACGATCTACGGGATCTATAATAAGAAATACATAATAAGCGAGTTAATCTTTTCTCTCTTCACCTTTTTCTTTATAAACCTGAAAAATTCTCGAAATATGCTTTTAATACGGATTGATTTTATTCGACGTATTTAAAAAAAAATATTTCTTTTAAAATTACTGATATAACAAAACGAAGCTTATAATAATTAATTAATTAATGATTTAATAAATAATTGTTCTTAAGATAGTATTTACTCTCCTCTTTCTCTCTAAAAGTGCTCTTATATTATTCTACTCATATATATTCTATGCATTTATCCTCGCGAAAGAACATTTTCTTACAGTTTAATGTGCTAAATTAAATCTTCTTCGTCAAATATATATATTTATCAAATTTTGATTGCTCGCAGCCTGCAATATGCTTGAAGATAAAACATGAATATAAAATATTACGCCATTGTCTCTTTTTTGGTCTTCGTGAGCTCTGTATGTGCCAATAATAACACACTAATAATATATTTGACGATAAGGAGCTCGATAAGCTCGTATCGTCACAGATAGAGGTTAACATCATTCTAAGTTACGTGTTTAGAAGAACCAGGCGAACATCGTGAGATAGTAGTTGGTCTAAGCTGAGCTCGTGCGCTAGGAACAACCTTGGAATCTCAAGGTCGTTCTCTAAACCTACCAGACAGGATTCTCGGCGACCGGTCGAGAATGCCGACTCCCGCGGCGGCGTCTTCTCGCTTATTGTTCTTGTTAGCCGAAGATCGAAGCAGCAAAGCAAAGGAGGAAACATCTTATATACATGTATAGAAGTTCGGAAATTCTCGTATGAAAAATCTATAAAGAAAAATTCCAGCAAAATTAAATAATAAAAATATTCGCAATTATTTTTATTCCGAGAAAATAATTAATTTTAAAAATTGTAAGAATTTATAGCATGTGTGTGTGTGTGTGTGTGTGTTTGGCAATTATAAGGTACATTTCATGGGCTCTTTTATTATTCAATTTATTATAAATTAAATTCCGCTACAAAAAGTTTCGAGACTCGAATTTTCTTCGTGTATAAAACTAAAAGAGTTTTCTAATCTTGGAAGAGAGCTTATAATCTGTAATTAACCGAGTCTCGTTAGTTTAGCGCGCGAATGTGTACGAGAATGGTTTTCCTGGCTCATTATTCATCGTCAACCGGTACATAAATGAAGATGTGATTAATGACTCGATGGTAATTAATTTTGATGCAGTGATAACGTGCAACTGCTAATCAAAGACGATCGAGACGAGACAAATATCCCATCTGATTGATGCACTTTATCAATGACAAAGTACAAGTTCACATGTTGCGCGAATTTAATTCGCAATTCGATCTTTATTATTTTTACATATTTGCTATGCATTTCTCATACCTATAATAAACATTTAGATAGGATAAGTAACACGGAATTTTTCTTATCTTAATTACATATCACATTGCTCTAGCATTTTATCTCGACAGTGTTTGAGAGAGTAATATAATATTCATACTATCTTTTTTTTAATTTGTCTAAATTTGCAAGATAGTATATCGTAAACGATTTGGCGACGAATGAGTCTGCAGTTTTCACATTACACATTTGTCTCGTGCTACAACCGGACAAGCCGGTCTTCTCAAATATACATGCACGTGCGACGCGTTTACATTCGCTGTTCACGTCGTGTATGCGAAAGAAACGTCGCTACCACCGCCTGGGAATCATCGATGTTTCCCATACCCAGCGTTCCCCGTTCTCACCGTAAAACCGATGTGAAACCAGACGGTTCCCAACGCGCATCCGTGAGACTCGTTTGAAATTCGGCCTTTTCGAATAAAAATTCGAAGGGTCTGATTCCATTTTTGATTACGCGATTCCGTTCGTCTGAAAATTTAAATTATAATGTTTATAAATAAAATGTTATCTTTTTTCATCTATGATTCTAATTAAAACACATTTTTTATTTCTTTCTAGAGATTTCATTAATATTGTTCGCTACATCGTATCCTCATTTTGCATGCTTGTTTGATTATTTAAACCGTTTATTAATATCACTGAACGATTTTGTCATATTTAAATATAAATTGATAATGATAAGCTGCAATTAATTATACATAAAAATACAAATTTGATTCATTTTTAAATTAAAACAAACAAATTCAGAAAATTTAAGATATATATAAACGTAGAATCTTTATAATATACACATATATCTTCAAAATAAATATGCAAAAATTAGGAACTTGAGATGCATTTTCGTCTTTTGAGTTACCTTAACCGAATGTACTACTTGTCTAATCATAAGTATGACAGCTTAACCCACTTTCGGATTCGGCACCTCCCAGTGCATCATACTTCCCTGTCAGTTTATTTATCAATTTAGATTATGTCACGAAAGAGCTAATTATACTTCAAAGTTGTCGGAGTTTTTGTTCCCGAACTTTGAATACATATCAAACTAAAAATTTATTCTTATTAATTTCAAAACGCGCATTTTTTTATTACGTATATATTATTTAAATAACATTTATTATTTAAATCAAATTTTATTCTTCACGGACACAACAGCGTTCTATAATATTTTTCTACACAAATCTTAAAATTCTTTATATGAGCTATTAATATATCTCGTTCTTATATAAAAACTTTTTTAAACGAAATATTAGATGCCGGGATATTAAAGGATTTTGATAAATATGGAAATAGCTATATTATTATTTTAATTTGATTTTACGATTAATTTCGATTCTCAACAAAATCACGAGGATTGTGGTTCCACGTTTAGATTCGGCTCGGCGCTTATTCGACCGGTGTCAGCCGGCTCGTACGGGACCACACCCGACATACTTATGCTCTCCTAGTAAAGTGATACAGTTTATTGGACTTCTTCAGATCGGAATGCGGCGTCAATGACATTCTTATCTCGTTACGAGAAAGAACTCGAGCGGCTTTGCCGAACAAGCTAATTCGGGATGCGGTGTCATATGCACGTGACGACATATCTGCATGTCATCACTCGGTCCCGTAGCATCTTATACGAAAAGACGCTACTGCGTAGGATATACCAGCTGCATTTTTATGCCACGCTGGTGGACTGACTATGTCTGACCAGCACGAGCGTCAACTGTTAAGCGCGTGTAAACTGTACATCAACGAAAGCAGAAAAGAAACCGGATTACATCTGTGCTCTACCCGCTCACGAGCGTTGGCACAATCTTTACCGGACACCCTGTATATTAAAAAAATACAAATTCGCAACCGCGTATACGTATAAATATAGAGCCACGTGTGCGTGCTCTCAAGAATGAATGAGAGGGGAAATGGAGCCCGCATACAATGCGAGAGAGACAGCCGAATCGACCGTTTCGGTAGTTCCTTCGTTCACCGCAACGCGTCGTGTTTTCTCGCAGTCAAATTTCCATCATAAACTGTATATAAAGCCTGCGGAAACAGTTGCTGGTATCGCTTCTCGGCTCTCTGAGCTAAGATCAAATGTGTAGTATCTGTTCTTATCAGCTTAATATCTGATACAATCCCCATAGGGGATTCAGAATATTAATGCGATTTTTGGGCAGCGGCGGGAGATCGAAGCTTGCTTCGTCCCTGCCAATTGGTCGACCTGACATTGCAGTGAAGTCAGGTTTGGCCTTACTAAATAATTCCAAAAATAATCATTTACTTATAGTTTTCTTCTTATACATTCGATTAAGAGGAAAATCTTAGTCGAAATCTTGGACTTTTTTTAACTCGGGGCCAAGGCAAAACGATATAACAATTTTACTACGCATGGCACATAGTAAAGATCAACTTTTTGATCATTGTGAAATGTCTTTTTTATATGTTGAAATAGATTTTGTGTAGTGTGTGTACATATATTTCATCGTATTATTAACTCTGAAAGAGAGAAAAAAAAAATATTTTTTCTTTAGAAAAAAGTCCAATAAACTTTTATATTTTGATTATATTCGATGCATATACACACACATAAAAGCATTACAAATATATTTTAAACACATTCGTTACATGAGTCTTTTTCTCAAGAAATATTTCGGCATTTTCTGGGTTAATAAATCAAGTGTGGTAAATCAAAATATTCTGATTCCTTATTTAGTATCTCATTCGTAATTAAATTTTTCAACTTTAATAAAAAGATTGGCAATAACTAAATAATATAGAATGAAGATGTTCAAGATGTGCAAATAAATTCAAATTTATGTATCTCGACAGGTCATCAACTGACAGTGTTCAACAGCCAGTCTACTATTCAAGTAGGCGGTCGATGGAATCGCAGCAAGGGCAGAGTGGAACGGCCATTCTTGGGCGTAATAGCCGGTCTGGTCGTTAATGGTGCGAGGATCCTAGAGCTGGCGGCAGCCAAGGATGGTAAAGTTATAACTAGAGGAGATGTGCAGCTTTTACCAGCCGGAAGTCTCCTCGATCGCGCCGCGCCTTTACAAAGAATGCAACAGGTAATAAATCTCTTAATAATCTCATTAGTAATTTCTTTAGTAAGTTCAATGTCATTATAATTATTTAATTTAATATATGTATATATAGACGCCTGCATCCGGTTTTCCCGGCGTCGTAGATGATCTTATATTCTCCGGCGCCGGAAGCGGTTGCGCTGGCGATGACGAGGACGAGGAATGCACCCCAATCTACGAATCTGGTTCCGGTAAGTGTAAGTAACATTTCCGAGAGCGTAAGTAATAAATCTGTTCTGCACGTTCCTCTTTTTACAAGGATATTTTTTATCCACGTGCATTTGTCTTGTAACATCACCATTTCGTTACCATTATAATCTTTCACGTATTTTCACCGATGTAAGATTTTATCTACAAAATAATTCACGTATGAGAAAGTTGTTTGTCAATGGTTTATATGTTTAAGCACCACTATAGCACCGACGAGATATCATTAAAGACCGGTGGTCTTATGGGATTTAGTGTGACTGGAAAAAAAAACTCGCTACGCGTTATTTTAGTTCATCCAGTTATTGTTTTATTATCAAACATGTAAAGATCTTTTATATAACTGCCTCAAGAACAACAAAATCAACATTTTATCGTAAATTTACTGTTTTATTATCGACAATGCAAAAATATTATTTTTAATATAAATATACATATATTATCCTGCAAATTTTTTTATCACACATTAAACACAAAGCTTTTTCAAAACTATATGCTACTTCAATCTTAATTTTTAATATATCTCTAACATATAAAAAAAATGTTAAATATTACTATTGATATATACATAAATATTATTATCTCAATGTCCAGCTTTATAAAAAATTCGCTCGGTTAATTAGAATATAAAATACTAGAAGTTAAATCCGCGCAAAACATAAATCAAAGCAAAATATAAAGATTGAATTTGAGAAATTAAAGTGAACATAATGTAATTTTAATAGTGTATGTTTTATATAATACATGTCGAATCTACATGTATATAAATAAAATTTATATAGAAAGATACATAATAATATTAGCAACAAAATTTTTCCTTATAATTTTGCAATAAAATTATTAGTTTGGAAATTATTCGCGAAAAACAGCTTTCTCGAGAGCGCTCGTGAGCCATTCGCTTCGTATATAAGAGCGAAATTATCGATCATAAGCGTGTTGTATGAAAGGAGAGACGTTTAGCACTCCCCTAGACAAGGACGGACAACATATGTACTGGTAAGGCACTGTCGTCTATTGGCGACTCTTACCACAACATTTTTTTTTTCTTATTTAATAATGCAACAATGAAATTTGATTAATTATAAACTGTGATACTTTATTTTTTAATCTTTTTGGCTAAATTATATTTTTTATTTTATCTTATTGATCGATTATTACACATAAATATTGTCAGCAACGACGATTTCAAAATTATAAAAAAATGTGTACACTATTCTATATAAACTAGAAATGTGCTTGAGAATAATTAACTGAAATAAAATGTGCTTTAGATTAATTAAATTTAAAATCTTTCGCAACATCAGCATCAACAGATTCATATACAATATAATAAATAAAAAGAGATAAAAAATGTATCACTTTGATATGGAGCTAGAAATATAAAAAAATATTAATTATATAATTATTGATTAATAAAATAATTGTGACACACGCACACATGCTTAGTTTTTTTGTAGATATATATTTGATCAATTTAGAAGCTAATTTTCAAATTGTTCAATTACATATTTTTAAAATATGTTAAAAAATTGAAGAGAACTATATGATTGTAAAGTCTGATTTTTCAGATTTCTTTTAGGGACATCACTGTACATTGATTCATCTTCTCCAACATGCGTGTTGCTCGCACACATACACATATACTCAGGCACGCACATATCGCATAGCATGCCACCTTTTCGTCTTCATGCTCGCCCGGTTGTATCTTCGATTCATTTACATATTTAGGATCGCCAGCTGGAGATAAGCCTGGCAGAGCCCCTCCTTTCACCTTCCAGCGAACCTCTTGCAACGAACTGAAGCCCCGCTCCAAAATCTTCTTCAACTGACTAAAAACTAAATTAATATCGTCATCTTAATGACACGATAATCAAACATCCAATTGCTTCGCACGGAAGATTTCTGTGGGATTCGGTTTATTTCTCGAGAGAGAAATCTTTATATTAATCGACATACATATACATACATCATTATATTTTTTATTTTCGGAATAATTGATAATTCTCTCTATCATTCATTAATTATCATCTTTAATTATTATTTGATATTTATGAAATAAAAAAAGACAAATTTTTATAGAATTAGATAAGAAAAATTAGTATAATCAACTTTTTAAATATGGATATTAGACATTGCACGCTAGATTTTATATCGGTATCCGAATCGCGTATATTGTACATTAGTGTGACCTCATACGTTCAATCTTGATAATTACACCGCTTCTATTTCTAGATGACATCATCACGCCAGTATACGTAGCGCCCACGCGATTGCCGACAACATTAAGGCCAAAGCTTCACAAGGAAAATATCCAAGTGAAAATATCTTGTGACGATGAGGAAGACTGCGAGGAGGGTTCAGGCGATCCCAGAACAACGGAAGAGATTTTTGTCACCTCGGCCACCGGTCCGTATTTCAGAACATTGTTCTGCTTAATATATTCCTAACACTTTTCTTATAGTTTATAGTACAAAATGCAAAACGCAATGTCCCAAATCGTGAAATTTTAAATCTGAAGATGACAATACCATATATATAAAGAGCTTATTTCTCTCACAACAGTCGTAAATCTGCATATCTTTAAATAATAAAGAATATGTGTTATAGAAAGTTCTATACGATAAACTTTCATAAGCTCATAATCTTTATTTTTTAAATAAATGTGTATTTAAGACGGAAATAAGTTAGCTGTACATATAATATAATAATAATAATTGAATAAGTTTGTTTATAAATGGAAGATTTAACATAATAAGATTTAGAAAATAAAAATAACGGGAAAAAACAATTTTTCTACATATAAATATATTTTAAAAACTATGAATATATAAAATAATACTCTATTGTTCTATCTTGGAAATTATTAAACAAATATTCTTTACGTACGATTTCTAGAATATAAGCATAGTCTTTTATAGGTATTGGTGTACACATTTTAACAGTCTTGATATTGTTCTTTTTAATATAAAGATGATATTAAGAACATTACACTATCAGCCAAATTCAAATTTATAATTATTTAGATATTTTATTTGAATCAAAGCTATATATTATATAAGTCTATAAAAGTATCAGATCTATTATAATGGATAGTTCTTAAATATTGACACATATATCCCCCCTTCTCTCCCCCAATAGCTATGTTAAACGGATAAAAGACAAAATAGTATTTAAATTTAAAAAATTTAATCGAAAATACAAGAGGCTAATTAACTGCCGCGAAAGCATCGATCGATCTTATTGTTCTTGTCCATCAGCTTTAAATGAAAAATCTTTCTCTTTACGAGATTACAACGTGGGCGTTCTCATCCTGACGACTTTCTGTGACGCGCGTACTTATCGTCGCCCACCACATTATTCTGCTACCGGGAGCGGGAAGCTTTCCCGTGGCAATACTCGCCCCATCTTAGCATGAAATGAGACACTGTCCTTAATTTTATCCGAGCATGGAACCGTGTAAAAGCGAGTTAAAACTCCGAGACATTTTCTCGCGTTTGATACCCAAGCTAAAAGTGTTTTCCGTTGCAAAATTTAAATTTTTTTACGCGTGATTGTAAAAGAGTATATTTAGTATATAGTACGTGTGTAATTGTGTAAGAAAGAATTGCTGGAAGTCGATATGCAGGCGCGAAGCCCTATATATAAGAATATATTTAAGCTTTAAAATGTTCTCTCATGTTTGATACCTGAAATAATGGAAAATTTTTATAAGGAGCTTATCTGTTATAGGCAAAATGTTTATCATGATATGCATAATTTCTTTTTTTCCTACATATTTATATAACACACATCTAAAGGACTTTATGTTATTGAGAAAAATCTTAACAATATAGTGTCTTGCTTCAAATTATTTTTTGTTAGAAAATACAAAGTTAAATATAAATATTTAAAAAATCATGTGTGTACACATGCGTTAAAAAATTAAAGATATTTGATTACTGCCGAGAATATGGCTCACAGCTGTTTCATTTTAAGAGCTCACTGCTGCGGCACAGCATGTAGCATCTCTATAATTTTAACTTGTGAGCTACAACAAAATACAAAATATTATTTATATCCCATGACATTTAACTGAAACATGTTGCGTTACTGTGCGTGGGCGTCCCTCCTTGAATATATAATATATACGCTCCTGGAGCCCTCGGGACTGTTCATTTCGCAACGTTACTGCTTACGCACGCGTGAATATTGCAGGCCTACGCACGCGTAAATATTGGGCCGCCTCCACGTTTCACATCCCGTCCATCCCTTTTACTTCCATGCCTTCCTACCCTCTTCATCCCCCTTCTCCATCTCCCCGGATCATCCCCTCCGCGCGAATCGCAGATGCGATACAACGAGGTGAAACACAACCCCCCTGACGCATTTTTTTTTCCTCTGTTCTCGGTCGCAGACATCAGCTCGGTGACGTATACGACGCCTCGCGAGTATTCGACGAGCCATATCAGCACGCAGACGTCGTCGGCGTCGTCGACAACGTTGAACCGCGACGTCGTCACCGTCTCCGTCCAATACAATGTGTCAACCACAGACCTCGAGACCAGCCATGGCAGGTGCGTGCGTCTGTCAGCGATAACGTTCGCAATTCAATCTACATAACGCCGTTTCTATTATAATTATTGATTATTTGCCATTGATTAGTAATCACAGGGATAACATGTACGTTTTGTGAGCGCAAAATCGCCAAACTATGCATTTTCCAACTATCGAGACACGTGGAAACATATTGTACGATCTGGATTATTTTTTTTTAATTAATTATTGACCCCTTATTAATATAAAAAAAATTTGTCTGATGTATAAATGTTTTGTTACAATATATTGGAGAAAATCTCTCAATAAAAAATTTATTATATTATAGATAATATTAACAAAGCAAACCTCAATTGGTAAAATAAATTTTGAAATATATAAGAAAGAGAGAGAGAGAGAGAGAGAGAATATATATATGACGCTACCGTGTCACAATACAAGTCCTCTTCGGTACCTATTAATCGATTCATGCTGTGTTAAAAAAGAAAAAAAAAAAAAAAAAAAAAAAAAAAAAAACGTGAGCGCTGATCGAACATTATCGAAGAGAGTTTTATCCTGCCTCACAACTGTGTGCTATAATAGTAAACAAATCTCGCGTATCCCGAATTTCAAGGATCTGTCTCGAGGATCGGTAAACGCGCAACCCGGCAAGTGATTGAACGTTCTTCTGCAAATCTTCCTCGTGAGCTGTGCTTATTGCGGTAGACAATTTTTATGGAAATGCCTCGTGAGATCTGAGGAGATCGATGAAACAATCGCGCGTGCAATCCCCGAAACAGCTGAGGGGTATGTTTGAAGAAGCATCCTCTTTCGTACTTTAAAATCTTTTTATACCCTCCTGCGACGATCCTGAGAAGGATCTAATGCGCACGAGAGATTGATTGGTGATCGGAAATCAAGTATCCTTGGATAAAATGCATTTCTTTAAGACTTGCTTTAAGATTGAGATCGATAGATCGTATACCCAGACAGAAGTACGTATTCGTTCTTCGAGAAAAGCATAACGAGAAGCATCGATCATGATAAAAAAATCTCTCTTTAATTCTAATGCAAATTAAGGCAGATCAAACTCGAAAGAGCTCCTCGAGATCAGTGATCTAGCACCGCTTCTCTTGTTCCGGCAACACAAAATCTCAGGATAAAATTTAGACATGTGGCAAGGATCGAGTATCGATCGCAAAGGATCCTGAGGAAGGATCTCTTCTTCGTTTTTCTTTGTCGCGGATTTTTTCGAGTCACAATCGGATAGAGTTTGCGACGCTGCTCGATCCTTTGATTTGTATTATAATTAAAGGCAGACAGAAAGACGATTCGCAGTAGGCGAGAAATTAGCATCTGCGAGCAAGGTATTGTTCAACGTGAGGTGGCCGTTGCTTCTATCTAGAACGACTTTCCGAAGAGAAACAAAGAGGAAGAAATAAACGCGAAGATCGTGGAATTAAACGTAGGAATTAATTAATTAAAGAAAGAAACATTGAAGGTGATATTAGCAGTGATTAATGAACGGATTTTAGGAAGAAACTTGCACCGATTATATAGATTATTTATATATTGTTTTGTGGATTTTACTTCCAACATCTTTTGTTATAAGCACGGCATTAAATAATTTTTAAGAACGCGTCGAACAACAATATTAATTTCTATAGTTATATAGCGATTTCATGTGTATATCTATTCGTTAAGAATTAGATGATAAGCTATTGTTCGAGTGATTTGTACGATCTTTTAGATAAGTAACAATATTTCAAGTAAGAAATTTAAAAAATTGTGCATGATGTTTCCTATTGTTTATTTCTATAAGATTTTATAGCTGTTAGATATAAAAGTCTGGAAGAATTGTGATGATCGGTTAGAGAAAAAAATATATTTTATATTAATTTAATATATAAGAAGAATATAAATATTATTTGTTTAGATTTGAAATTTAAGGTCAATATTTTCACAGAAACATTATACAATTGTTATTACAGAAAATTGTTCTTTTGTCTAAGAAAAATGAATATAAATATTAATAAATTAGGAGATAAATTATAAAATGTGATATTTCTGAATCAATTTTGATCAATTCGATATACTGATTAATTGAGTTTCTAAATATTATTTATGCACGTATGTGTGTAATGTTTGTATTATAATAGCAAAAGCTTAGAATGTATTTCATTCTCGACGCGCTCTTCGTAAAAACAAAATGTTGGAAGTGAAACGTTAGGGACGAAAATGTCGTGATCTAATGATCCTATTCTGTCCTATTCACACATTCATTGTTGTATAGAAAAGCAAAAAAAAAAAATATATATATATGTATATGACACATACACATACACACACACACATATATATATTTATCGATTATGTTATGCGTTTCTAAAAATTGTTTGATAAATTAAATAGATTTTATTAAAATCTATTTTGAAGGACACGCAACACATAAGAGTTCCATTCAAACGACTCGAGTGTGAAATATATTTAATGAGGAATATTAAAATGTATAAGTTTATCACAAATTATACGCGTATATCATCTCTATTGCACCATATATTTGCAAACAAAAAAGGTATTTAAAATCTTGAAAAATTTTGAAAAACTATTATAAATAAGCGATAATATTATACTTTCAAAGAACAATTTTTACAAATAAGATTCGTCTTACATAAAAGATCGTTATTAGTTTAATAAGAAGTAAATAGTAAATTTTGTTTGAAATAGACTATTATGCTAAAAGAGATATAAATACATTCTTCAAAAAAAGCAGATTGCTCAGTGCAAAATTAAATGACATCAGAAACAAAAATATTGTTCTTATATAAATCCATAAATACATCTTTGAAACCATTTAACTATGGCTTAACTCCTTTCGCGAAGTATATCCTTTAATATAAATAATGAATGGTGATTAATTTACAAAGAATTAATAAAGTAATTTAAGAAAACAAAATTATTATTTAAGACTATCCAATTATTGCTTCGCAATTGATTGTATTTCCAAATCTGCTTAAAAAGGATTTAACAATTTTTGAACTCTATATTCATTAATTTTATTTTTGCTACTTTTGCAATGGTTAATATTAAATGTAGTTTAAATAACAATTGTACATGCACATCATTGGCTAATAAACACGATCGGTATTTCTCGTTCAATCATATTGCACAGTCGAGTGTTTTACGCGAGATTATATCTAAAGGCCACTTTGATCAAATCGGAATTAACTTAATCGGCGATTAATTCAACTGACAGAATTTCCTATAGCAAACTTTTTTTGCTATAGGAAATTCTGCTATATAATTTTAATTGTATCATTTGTCATTTCTAATTTAATTTATTTTTCATGTTCTAAATAATTTACAAAATATTAATTCTATTTTTCTATTAACATTAAAATGTTGTAGACATTATTTGATAAATTAATCGCTGCGATTAAATTAATCGAAATTTGCTTTAAGTGACTCTAAGTAACTCTTATACATATGGAAAGTATCTGTAAGTAATTTGAGATAAAAAAAAAAGATAAACTTAACGAATAGATGATTTATAGCATACGCAAATATGCTTATACATAAATACAGGGTGTGAATGCAGTATTGTCGGTACGATTTATAGATAACGTTTGACCGTCGTATAATGTCGAGCATTAATTACACGACGATACACAAATGCACCGAATCGTTTCTACCAAGTTGCATTGTCTCCTTCTAATTATCTAATTGAAATTCGCGATACGCTTGTTTTTACGGGATGGCTTTAGGTATCAGGTATTTTCTCTCATCTATAAATTCTTTGATAAATTTTATATCTATTTTTCTCTAGTGGAAATTTAATTAAATGCTATCTTCTTTGCAATTACGTAATTCTTAACATGTAGTATATTGTATTTTTCAGTAATATAGTAAGTTTAATTTAATAATTTAGTAAAATAAAAGTTTATTTTTTATGCAATCTTTTATATTTTGAATTTCTTGGCGTTACAAAAAGTAATTATTAAATTAGATTAAATTAAATTAAAAAATACGACATTTCTAATAAAAAAGATCAATTTTAGATTAACACAAGAATTTAGAGATGAAATAACAATACCTTGGGACATCCTGTATATATAGCTGTATGTTGTTAACTTAGTATTACTATTAACAAAGTTAATCATTGACGTAATTGACGATAATAAAGATCTTTTAAAACCATTTAATTGAAGCTAAAGTTAAACAAAATATGTTAAAAACTCGAAGACAATTCATCATCCCCACACAATGTTAGGTTACATTAACATAATTGATCAATAATAAAAAAATGATTAATATTATTAGTAATGGTTTTCAAAATTATTTATGAGAGCAAAAAGATAAACTAAAACAAAATATAATTCGTCCAATTATTATAACTCTTATTGTTATATTAATATGTATATATAGTTGATCTTTGACTTAATTAACAGTGATAATGCTTATAGTTCACGGAAAAATAATTTATATAATTTAGCAAAACAAAATATTAATAGGAATAACACATCATATAAATTTTCAAAGATAAGACAATTTCCAATGTTATTTATTTATACATTATTATAGAATAGATATTTCGTTTGCAGGATCAAACGATATTGAATTATGAACGGAACTTGCAAAAAATAATTAAAAAAAAAATAAATAATTAAGTATTTTATTAAACTAAATTATTTGCTCGAAATAATTCTCAATCTTCATTTGCAACTTGACAACAAAATATAGTTAAAATAGAAAAGAGACTAATAATTGAACTGGCAAAATATGACAAGTATTTTTAAGTACAATTTATTACATTTACTTTTCCGTGACTATTATTCCGTACGATAATTGTCACAAAATAAAGAATGATAGATAGATTGTCACTATTTTAATGTAACTGACACTTGTTATTACAATTAAGACAGAGAGTTAATAGTAATAACAAGCCGCGCGACGCAAAGACACGACGGAAAGACATTTGTCGCAGAAAAAGAAGCAATAAATAATAAAACGGGACTTAGCATTTAAGCTAATTTAAAGCGCAGCAATCCATTCAGTTCCTGAATCGTTACTTCCGCCCAATTTGCTTG